TATGGTTTCGTGATTAGTAGGAAATCACTACATGCTCGTCTGGAAGTATGCGGAATGAAAGACCTTTGTTTTAGTAGATATGTTTCAGAACCTTAAGAACAAAGAAATGAAGCTTCAGGAGTTTCAACTTTGCGTGGATTCTATTAGAACAGGGTTGGTGGGGTGCATTAGACTATATAGTCATATCAAGGAGCCCGAACTAAACGTGACGCATATTATTTTTTCGGGTTGCTTATTCCACGTAGTCCTGAGTACGGTTTATGTCAAAGCCTAATTCCAAGTAGTAGTGGCTGATTGGGCAAACTTATATGTAGTCCATGACTTCCATATAGTTCTCCAGGTCAAGGGTGGAGGGGTGTGCGGCTTTAGAGTTTGAAGGTTGGCCTACCCGGGTTTCAAGCGCACAGAAAGGCTACTGATGCTGAGGCTTCTTGGAGTGCAGTTGGTGGTCCAAAACCCAGCTGTAGCACTTTGGTCTTGGTCTGCGGGGCTTTGTGGCTTTTCTCAGCAGGCCAATCGCCTGATTTCGAAGCACAACCGCGAGAAGCCGGACTCTCTTGATGAGAGAGTACCGCTCGTGACGGTTCCACCTCATGTGCCCTTGGCGTCTAAGGTGGATTTCTTATCATAAATTTGCTGCGAAACATGCCGAAAATACTATCCGAATTACGTATTCAGGCTCCTGTATGTTAGCTCTCCATGTATCCGAAGCCATGGGTGCGCGCAACTTAGCCCGGAAGGAGAACCTCGACGAAGAATGCAAGCGTCCTGCCGACTCCCGAATTCTCTAGTCAAACTTCCCAGAACTGTTTTTACGCTCTTTAACACCTGAAACCTCCGCAGGCACAATCGTGCTGACCTCCAGTCGCTCCGGGTGTCTCGTCCTCGAAACACGCTGGGTTCCTGCTGGCTTCGGTTAACGTGAAGGGATTCAGGTAGGCTGAGCGTTGTTCTTTTTGGTGGGTTCTTTTGACAATACTAGGAGGGCGATTAGCGAAAACTCGGTCGTTTGAAAAGTGCACACCCTTTCGATCGCGCGCAAGGGCGAGCGCAAGCTATGCTCAAGGCTTGTTGTTAAGGTTGATTCAAGAGTGATACTCAGCAGCCTTGTAGGTAGATGGGCCGTGAAGCCCCAGTGTTTTACCCGCAGCCGAAGAAGCCACCAAAGGTCAACAAGCCACTGTAACAAACCCTATATTAGTCTTCAAAAAACCTCGCGCGCGCAACCACGCCCAAGGAACGCGCGAGGGCGAAGCGCAAGGGATCCTAAGTGGCATGCATGGAACAAGGATACGGAACAACCCTCGCTTAGCTACGGGGTTTGTACCTTGATTTTTGCGATAGCACCATGAACCCTAAACCGCAAAAGCATTGACCGTTCGATTCTTCGGTGTTCTGTGTTCTGATTTAAGAGACCACATGTGGGGTTCAGTAGCCTTTAGCATGTATCGGGCCCGCCCGGAGGACGGCTGCCGCGGACTAGGCAGGGTATTGGATTGAGAGTTTGGGCGATAGGTTTTCGCTTGCCCTTTGCAGAATGAATCTGGCATGGGTCATAGATACAGAAGCGCCCTCAAGAAGGCGTTCGGATCTGTGGATATGTGCTTCGTTGCCGCAACGCTTCGGACCCTGAATCGTAGTCCGATTGTGCAACTTTCAGGAGATGGGCAGGTCATGAAGTCTTCGGACCGACTTATTTCCGATTGTCGCGGCCTTCAAGAGAGAGCTTATAGAGGTTGATGTTTCACGAGATTGTCATGCACGTTGGACAGCTTATTTAATACGTCTGAGGTTAGCAGTCCTTGTAAGAGGAGCTTATGGCTGCATAGCGCACGTGCAGGGTAGGGCACGGCGGCCCGCGATTCTGCCCAGTCGCATGCGGC